CAACAGTATATATACGATCAAATTCTATTGCGTACTATTGTATAAAATTCAATTGAAAACATTAGTTTTCACATTTTTTCAGGGAGGTTCTACTGCACCAGAATCTAAGTCATGCAGAATCAAATTAGCACCTAATCGAATGATATATAGAGTAATCCTGTACGACTTTATTTACTAAATTTATTGATACTTTACTGAAACATGATAATGTGAAAGGGCGCATTTTATATATATTTGTTGCGTGTTTGAGCTTATTACCACGTCTTGAAGAAATTTGTAAAAAGAATTTGACAATCACATTCAGAAAGCTTTGCATAGAAAAAGGTTCCAGGAAGAAGAGAATTTTAAAAGTCGGCAGATACAGTTAATAAATGTTGATGCTAAATAAATATCGGATTTCTTTGAAAAAGTAGATTGGTTTTTATTAGCATAAGAATAAAAATAAATGTATAAATCTGTGTATTTAATTTATATTTCAGATTGCCAAATATAAAACGATAAATACTATTTCAAGTAGTATGCAGTGTGGTCTAGAGATGCATAGAGTGAGCTTTTTTCGTATCCTGTATCCTGACTGACAATGGAATTCATTCAACTGATAAACTCCTTTTGAGCTCATATTTTGCTCATAGTGTAAATAAAAATTCTGAAAGAGTTCGTACTATTAGGTCTTTCTTCTGAAGTTATGGTCAATTTACTTAATTCTCAACCTATTGCAGAATATCATGAGAAAAATCGCAACAAGAAGCTTTCGTCTGAAACTCTCTCCGACAATAGTTTTCATAGTCTTTATAATATTCTGAAAAGGACAGCTCAAAGAAGTGATGTCTTCTAAAGATATTGCATGCCTAAAAACTGGTCTGTTTTTGAAGTTCTTGTATGAAAGCAAATTCTTTTTTGCAAACATTTTATCGCAGAAGAAAAATCTGTTTCAATTGCAACTTTCAGAATATCTTAAGGACTATGAGAGCTATTGTAAATGATGATAACTGAAGAAGAAAGACTTAATGACACGAACCTTTTCAGAACTTTTATCTATACTATGAATTTTAAATATGAGCTCAACCGAATTGGTGCGCTCGTGAGAAATATTTTCTTACACTACATATCTCAAGCATGGACTGCCGAATAGTATATACATAATTTGATTAGATTCTGACTTGATTCTACATGACTTAGATTCTGGTATAGTAGAAACTCCTTGAAAGATATGTTATAATATAAATATATATATACCGTTGGATAGAGGAAGTCTTCTTCTAGAAATCTACATAATATTTCGATCTCTGAATAAAATCTTATCATTGCCTTTCTTTTGGAATAGAAAATAAACCTTTCTTTTTATCTTTAGGTTTTACTTAATGATGGTCTCAATAAAACGATAGCATATTTTCGTAATGAACTTCTTGTTAAACATCATAGTGAACGTAATGTTTTCTTTCCTAATGAATGGTTACATTCACCAAATGTAAATACAATGAAATCAACAAATAACATTGAACTTTGATTTTTTTTTTCTTTTTTTTTATGCTTTGAATACTGTGATTATAGATGTTGAAATAAATAAAGATAGATATGAAATACCTTTAATAATTAATAAAAACAAAATATAAACAATTTTACTTTTGTTTGCCATGTTATGTTTATATTTATTTTAGCTCTATGAGAATAATGGCAACACCAGCTAATATTATTGTTCAATATATTTTATTAAGACGTGATCTTAAAAAAATGAAAAATTATAATGATGGTGCTATTATTGCTCAAGCATGTCATGCATCAAGTTCTATATTATTTAAAACAATAAATGATGATTTAACAAAATTATATTTAAGTGATTTAGAACGAATGCATAAAGTTGTTTTAGGTATTGATGGAAATGAAAATGAGATAAATGAATTAAGTGATATACTTAAAAAAAATTCTATTGAACATTATCTATGGATTGAACAACCAGAAAATATTCCAACAGCAATTGCTGTTAAACCTTATTATAAAAAAGATATTGAACATTTTTTTTCAAAATATAAATTATATCGATAAAGTTTGACTAATCAATATGACGATGTCAATGATAAGAATATTTATCGATAAAATATATTAACAACATGAATTTCTTTTTATCTGATTTATTCAATGTTTTCAGATAAATTCTATACTTCGTATAGAAATCATTAAGCAATTGATTAGTTGATATTTGATTATTTAAATATGTAGTACAACATCATTCTATCACTGTTTAGATTTAATACAATTAATGTTGAAAATTAATAATTTATATTTCATTAGAATTGATTTCAATCGAATAAAACAGCTGAGAAAATTTTATTAAGAACAAAAAAAAAAAATATCCGTGGGTAATATAAAATCGATTATTTTATTCCTGATCAATATACAACATAGTTAAATCTGTAAGTATTTAAATTACATAAAAAATGAAAATGAATTTATAAAAACAATAATAATAACTTTATATATCTCCGTAAGTTTATGTATATACAGTCAATTAATATCGATCGATCAAGTGTTGATAATTTGATTATGTAGCTGAATCGATGAAACTATGCAATTATGTATAAACATCATTCTTATTCAAACATGAATAAAACGTATTTTTATTTTCGTTTTCTTTTGAAGGAGATATCGAAAATCTAATACGTGCTTTTCTCTTCATCATGTTTCGAATATTTGATAATGCGTGATATTGATAACAAGTTTATATTAAATCTTACTCCTTAACTCAATAATTATGTAATATCTGAAGATAGAACTTTTATCGATTAAACAAGACAATAGATGATCTCTAGTTTATCTGCATTTGCTATATCAATATTGCCAGATATGGATAATTTATCAATGAGTATTACGATAAGTCTTGCAATGAAATAAAGAACAACAATCAGTTAATATCAAATAACATTATTTGGTATAGATTTGAATAAATTTATTTCCATTTAGCATTAGCTTCTTTATCAATCGATTTCTAGATGACTAATCTTCTTACGTTAACTTTTACTTCTATCCATCTTTCAGTTTTACCATTGGTATCTGCTATTTATGAATATTAAATATCTTATGACAATAAAGTTAACGACAAGCATAATATAAATTCTTGATCAATACAAATTTATAATGATACCAAACAAAATCCAAATGCTGTTGATGACGAATTATTATCAAAATTACATGAACTACAAAATATAATGAATTATTGTAAAGAACATTTACAATAACAACATGATTTAGTAATAGATCGAACTCCATCAAGAATGATACCTAAAACAAAACAACAAATCACTAAATCAATATTATCATAATCATCTTCAACTGTTGATACTTTTATTGATGCCAATTGTAACTAAAACGAAAGACTGAACTAATAAACTACAAAATTGCATAACTGATGACAATAATTGTAAATCAGTCGTCAATTGACCTTTTTGTAAAATACATTAACAACAAAATGTACTAATCATATTTTATGTTAGAAAAATTTTCTATCGATAGACTTATTTCTATACAATGAAGATTGAAATAGAAGGCTATTGATTGTCTCACATTTTTTTTTTGTTTCATACTGTTAAATGATACCTACATAATAAGTTTTTCATGGACATATTCTTTATCTTATTACTTATTCTTTATATTCAAGAAGGAGTAGTGGGAAATCAATAAGTACGTAATGATTTACGACTATTCTTGATAAAGATTATATATACATGCGCCTCCCCCTATAAAGAATAATTACCAAGAATAGACAGAATGACGATTGATCGAAGAGGAGAAAAAAAAAAGAAGAGATTACAAATCGCTCGGCGGCGTTAAATGTTGACATTTGGTCTATGTAAATTGTGATGCGAGTGTTCGTACTGTTGTATTGTCAAGATCATAATTTATCACCTAAATAACTTGATTACGACAAGAAATATGCAAATAAATAGACTGCCAATGCCAAAAACGTATACGAACAACAGAGAATACGAAGCAAAGCTAATAATAATAAAAAACTGTAGAGTTATATAACTAACAATATGTTCAGAAAAATGAATTCTTTCTTTCTATTTTTATATATTGCATCGTTGCATAAACATTCTGAATTTTTGTTCATTCGTATGAACTCAAGCAAATGCCAGACATCTTACTTGATCGAATCAATTAGCACATTTCGTTTAGTCGAAAATGGTTTTCTTTTTTTTTTTTTCTTTTTTTCATTAAAATGATAAGTGCCACAGTAACAGCTGTTGTAAGTCTTCTTTTTCTTTCTTTTTTTCTTAATACATCATTGAATATCATAACGAATGAAATTTAAGCATTTTAAAAGTAATTGAACAAAAATCAAACTTTTATCATTATCCAACAAACGACAACTGATCTTGTTACATCGACATTTGTTTGAATAAGAACAGAAGCTATGTAATATATATAATTCTCTTTTGACATATTATGTCGAATATAATGTAGTAGATAGAATATATAGCAAAAGAAAAAGAACATTTGTGTCGTATTTCCTCATTTTCATCTTGTTTTACCTGTCCCATATGTATTTGCTTTGAGTATTCTCTAATAATCGACACTTTTTTCTTCTTCTTTTCTTCTATTCCAGATATCAATGTTTGATCTCTGTACTTCACTCGATGAAGGGTCAATGGCATCTGTTCTCTCATAAATCATCAGAGACCGACGGCGGAGTTATAACGACGATGATGATGATGACAAGGCCATAGAGACATATATGCCAACAACTATCACTTCAAGCTTGGAAGTAATATATACGCACACACATATATATTACATATCAATAGTCAAGGTAAATGAAGGAGTAACATTGGATATACTATTGAGTAAATCAATTTTGATCATTCTGTACATAATATACGAGTTGACAGTTCTTCTTTCCTTTCCTTTCTTTTTCTCTTTTCTCTCATATACATTTAGACGATATCTTGTTTTCGGCATAGAGACCTATTCATTTGATTTGTTTAGGAAGAAGATAGAAACACATGCCACGAAACCATAAAAGATCCTCATCAAGTGGTCATGTGAATGCAACAACGAAAAAGACAAAAGATAAACCTACATACAAAATTATTGTATTAGGTAGTGGTGGAGTTGGCAAAGTAAGATTTGTTTTTTTTTTCTTGAATGTACACGCTTCAGGCTCATAGTATATAAAAATACTTTGATTATTTGAGAAAGAAAAGATTAAGTTACCCCTCAAGATTTGTATAATCGATCGATTTCTTTCTTTTTTTCCTAATCATTATATATCAAAATCAAATCATATAGATAATATTCTAAAGAACACTTAAATTCAGTCTTAAGTTAGAGAGTATATATGATATTAACATAGATATAATGTTGTTAATGATATTACCATTGATTCTTTAACCATGCTGTGTTCATATCATTATCAACTATTTTTCACTTAACATGAACTAAGCTTTTCTAAACATCATCATTGAAAGTAATAATACACAACTGTCAATAATCTTTTATTCTAATCAGACAATGTTCATCGATAAGATTTGATATTAATTGTATATTTATAAATGTCTATTTCTTTTTAGTCAGCAATAACTATACAATTTGTAAAATCATTTTTTTTCTCTGATTATGATCCAACAATCGAAGATTCATATGTAAAACAATGTTTAATTGATAATCAAATAGCTCAATTAGAAATTCTTGATTCAGCTGGACAAGAAGAATTTAAACCTATGCGTGATCAATATGTACGTGTTGGCGAAGGTTTTTTACTTGTTTTTTCTTTAACGGATCGTCGATCATTGGAAGAATGTTACAAATTACATCGTGATATATTACGTATTAAAGATACTGATAATGTACCAATGTTATTAGTTGGAAATAAATTAGATATACGTCAAAGTGGTATGGATGTACATGCACGTGCTGCAGCTGCTTCTATGCATATACCATATTTTGAAACATCAGCTCGAACACGTCATAATATTGATGAAGTATTTATTGAACTTGTACGACTAATAAGAAAAAATAAATGTCAATATCAAACAAACAATAATTTATTATTATCTAAACATAAGAAACAAGAAAATAATAACCGTTACTGTTCTTGTACGATTTTGTAATCATTTTTCTTTTGATATATATACATAGATAAGAAAATGTTATTATTATTATTATTATGATTATTATAATATTTCTGTTTTGTTTTGTCAGATTTTATATATTTGGGAATTTGGGTGCTGACATTTTCTGTTCTTTGTTTTTCTTTTCATAGACAATCTCTTTCTCTTTTTTTTTCTTCTGTTGCTCTTTTTCATGATTTATTTACAATAATAATGAGAATAGATTTTTGGATTCAATAAGATAAATGAACTAAACTTTTTTGTTCTTTGATAAAAATATATATATTCATATGTAATTATTTAAATCAATATCAGTAAAAACTTGTTTAAACTATTTGAAATCTTCTTGTTTTCTTATTTGTTAATTATCAATATCGAAGTCTTTAAATAATGAAAACTATTCGCTTACTTGTTACATTAATAATTCATTCTTATGGGATTCTTTTTTTTTTTAAGCAATTTCTTCTAATTAAGATATCACATGTTTAATTCTAGAATAATAGAATGGAAGTACGTCGTCGTAGTCAACGAGTAGCTAAAGTTATAACTGAAACAATATCAAAAAAAGTTCAAGCTAAAAAAAATTGAAACAAAATCTATTACAATTGAAAAACAAGAACTTGTTATAAGTTTTAATGAACAAAACCTTTCTATTTTACGAAATGCTGCTAAACTTGTTCGTTTAACTGGCATGAAAATTGGTTATCCATGTATATGTACAAGTCTTTTTACACCAAGTCATACACTTCGTTTAGCTAATTATACAAATGAAAAATGTCTTGAAGTAACAAATCAAAATTTAATATGTTTACAAAAAAAATTCTTGAATATAATATTCAACATGGTTTTTATTTTTTTTTTCGTATTTCATCTCAAACAGTTCCATTTGCTAGTCATTCTATATGTACAATTGATTGGGCGAAACATTTTTCATCAACATTACGTCAAATAGGTCAATATATTAAAGATAATGATTGTCGTATTAGTATGCATCCAGATCAATTTTGTTTAATTAATGCTAAAGATGTTAATATTATTAATAAAAGTATTGCTGAACTTGATTATCATTGTCGATTATTAGATGAAATGGATTTAGATTCAAATGCTAAAATACAAATTCATGTTGGAGGTGTATATGGTGATAAAAAGGTTAGATATTTGAATCAAAAGCAAACAAAAAAAAACAAAGTTTTGTTTTCCTGTAGGCATCGATGGATCGATTTATTGAACATTGTAAAACAAAATTGAGTGATTCTCTACGTCGACGTTTTGTTATTGAAAATGATGATCGATTATTTTCAGTAAAAGATTGTCTTTATATTCATGAACATACATGTATACCAATACTATTTGATAATCTTCATCATGCTTGTTTAAATAATAGTGAAACAATGATTGAAGCTATGAAACAATGTTTTGCTGCAAGGCCTAATGGTCAATCATCCAATGGATGGATTATGCTACACAACAAACAGAAAAACGTATAGGTGCACATGCCGATCATGTTGATGAGAAATATTTTGAATTATTTATAAGAGAAACATGTGATCTTCAATTTGATATTATGTTAGAAATTAAAGATAAAGAACAAAGTGCTATTTTAGCAGTACCGTATGCTGCTCGAGAACGTGTTCACGATCAATCAATTGATATAGATCCTGCAAATTATCGTTATATTTATGAAAATGCACAACATTTACAAGATGAAGTAAATGAACATAAACGAAAGTGTGCAGAAAAAAAAACGATTAAAAAAAGCAATGAATGAAGATGATGATGATGATGAAGATTATAAACCAAAGTCAACAAAGAAAACAAAAACTAAATGATATTATATATCAATTAAGCTATTTTCGTCTTTTTGTAAATACTTATAACCTTTCGTGTATCAATATATTCATTTATTATTGCTATGGAAATAAAAAACATGAAGTTGCGAGCAGTATTTTATCGAGATTTTCTCTTCCGGATGGGCAATTCAAAACTTCGGGGTGGGCGAACATCTATTTTTGGAAGTACCGACACATTATATGTGTTTCAATAACTATAAACCCCGGAAGGATCAATCCAATTTTTGGAGAAGTGCCACCTCCTCGGCCTTCACACTAGAATAAAACACTAGTTACGAGATATCATTTGGTCAATACTATAATTTTTCATATGCGTATTATTCATATTTTTTTTTCTTTGACAAATAATGAATATTAGAATAAAAATTATTGATACTATTTTATAGATTCAATGAAAGATAAACTGATTCTATTGATTTAACTAAAAATATAAAAGACATTTTTGCTTTATTTATTCCTATTATTTCTAGTCACAATGCCAATTATATTCTGATTTGTTATCATAAAAATAACATATGAAGTAAAAAAAAAATAGTGACAGATAGATTTGTACGGAACTGCATTTGGGAACTAGTTAGAAAGTTAGAACATTATGAATATTCTATGCATTTATGTCTTTTGAGACTTATTGTAATAGTGATCATTAGCTTTTCTATGTCGTACTCTTTCATCTTATTGTGCTGTCTAAAAATTCATTGATTTGACCTTTCCCTCTTTTTTCTCTTTTTTTTTGCTATTTCTACAATTAATGAATACTAGAACTTCTTTTTCCCTATTACAGGTATAGCTTACCATTTGATCGCAATATTTGTCATTCTTTTTTTTTCTTCTTCGAGCTTTTTTCTTTTCTCATTAATGTTCAAGCAATTTTCTTCAATCGTATCTAATTTGCATTTCGTGTCTTCTGTTTTTTTTTACCAATGCCAATCACCATCATTTTATGTGAAAGTTAGCCCTTATGTGTATGTGAGCATATGTTGATGGCGTGTCAAACTATTCTATCAGGATGTTCCCTCCCGGGCTTGCATATTTAAGAAAATTGACAATGTGAATCTATATATGAAGACATAGAGAAAGAAGAGAATCTACCTGATTTATTGATGTTGAAATGATCTAGGTACTACTAGTAACAGGTTTTTTCCTTTTTTCCTTTTCTTCTTTCCATACATTAACATTGAGCATTCATTATAGGTATGGACGAGCGAAGCGAACAAGGAAGAAGGGAGGAGCAGACATACACGTACACATATAAAGCTGATCATAAATCAGGTGCATACTCTCTCAATAAGTCGCCCCCAAGGAAGGAGAAAGACGATGACGGGTTTGAAAAGAATTATTATGATCTTGACGACAGAATTGATTAGATCAATAAGGTAAGATCGTCATTGTCGTTTTACTTTTACCTTGAGCACACCAATGCATACATAATATACTTGAATAAAAAGAAGAAAAAGCAAAACGGCAATATAGTTTATTGTATGTATCGATTTTTTTTTTTCGATCTATATTTCGTAGTTTGATCGTTCTGTGATCAATTCTGATGTATATTGAAATGGAAAAAAAGAAAGGAGAAAGGCTTAGTTTTGACAGAATTGATTGAAAAATTGAAGTCGTACCGAACATACATATGCTTGCGACTATTCGTACTATCGCCAGCACTTTCCCTCCTATTATTCATCTACAGTCTTGTTCCTTTCTGTTTCTTTGTCGACGTGTTGTAGGTCGAGTTGGCTGGCAATCGATCATAAACAGTCATTTCCAATAAAGTCGTCATTGTATATGTATGTGTGAGCACATGCTTGCGCGATCACTCGTCAAGCCGTGACTTTACCGTCGAGTCGATAACAACATGATCGGAACAAACATTCGAAGCACAAAAAAAAAAGGCAGGATAAAAAAGAACGTGAGAGTGACAGAGAAATTTTACTACCATCGTTTATCAGTTTGCCCATTTGCTCCCTTGCTCGTACACAGACAAAGACAAGTAAAGCAATCAGAACCATATATATATATTGGCAGATGCAGGTGAACACATACACCTCCATACAGATATATATACACATACACATTTTAAATTGAAAGTTATGTCCTAGAACGACTTATTGAATGCATGCAATATATATATATTTTTTCTCTTTGTAGACTTATATTTTCTCACACTCTCTATAGATGAATGATAGGTACTTGATAAGTTTAAAAATTATTCAAAATAATATTTTAGATGAAGAATGACAACTACAAGTAAAAACATCGAATCAATTGTTAAACAATGGAGTTCATTTGATTTGAAATCAATTCAGGTAAAGTGTTCTTTCTCTATCTATCTATATAGTTCATGTCTTTTTCTTTGTTTGTTGACATGACACATCAAACTATTATCTTTACCTTTCTTCTTTTTTCTTCTTCTTCTTCTTTTTCTTTATTTGTTAAGTGTTTCTCTATCTATCTTTTCGAGTTAGATTTTTTGATCAGTTCAGTTGAGAGAAAAAGAAAAACGAAAATGCATGAAGTGATCAAAACTGTTGTGTAATAAACAGTTAAACAAAGCTTAAAATATATCTATTAACATAAAAGTTTCATACAAGTGCATGTATGTATATTTATTTATTTATTTATTTATTTATTTGTATTCTCGAAAAATGATCTATTTGTGAGAATGACCTTTTTTTCGATTATGACACTTTTACTTATCGTATTGATCAGTACAATGATTACTAAACAACTAACATGTCCACCTTATTCATTTGTGTGTGAAAGAAGAAGAGGTTGTCGACCTTCTCTTTTCTTTTCTTTTTCTTCTTCTCTTTCTCTTTTACAGTTCGAGAACTACTAATCATGTAATCGTCACCGTTGACGCTCGCTCTCTAGTTATATGTCGCATAATGATAATAGATCGAGTCTTATGTATAGCGATCGCTCTTGAAGAGTATTCTTTTTCTATGTCTTCGTCTGTTTTCCCTCTTCTTTGTTTTGTTGTTCTTCTATATTACTACTGTTCGCCTGTGATTAGGGTTCTTTCTTGCGCCTCCATCGCATCTTTCTCTCTCTCTCTCTTTCATACTACTACTTATTATGTTTGTCGATGATGATACAGATAGAGATATCGTCTTTTTTCGGTATCACGACAACGACAATTTCCGTTAATAGTTCTGTGTTGGTGTTTCAATCGATTCTGTAAGTGTATATATGTGTATATTATGTGTGTAGTGTGAGCTTTAAAAACATAAAACCTATACGTGATGGAATTTGAAAAAAATAAGTTTGAGTGATTGATATATAGTATAGAGTCTAGTTGATAGATATATGTGCAGTTATGCTTTAAGTAACGAAAGAAACAGAAAAAAAAAGAAAGAACGGAGAAATTCCAATGATGATTGCTTTTTACGGGAGAAATATTGCCCATCCTTCTTATCCGTAGTTATAAACATGTGATAAATAACCTGAGTGAATGAATGAATGAATGATCGACATCAGTAAATGAATACGTATATATGTTGGTATGTGTTTCGATGTAAAACCAAAAAAAACAACAGAAAGACGAAGAAATCGCATCTAGTATTTATTGTATATGTATGTTTGTCTGCGATGATTGATCTTAGAAGTATATAGTTGATGTGTGGTGAAACTTGGCGCCATGTTTATTGGTACATCCTACGAAGCACTTCGTACTTGGATATTGACACACACCATACAAGAGAAGATAAGAAGAACTGTAACTGAGACGAATATCTGTTTCCGTCTCTCTCTCTCTCTCTTCTTGTTCGTTTATCGACCTAAAAGAAATAAAGAAATGCGACATTGACTTGAGTAGCAGCACCACAAGACGTCGCTGATTTCCTCCTTGAGAAGAGATGCCGTGCTTAATCTATATCAATCAACTCTCCCTCTTTTTTCCCGAAAGACTCTACGAAGTAAACCTAATCTTGAATTGACAACATCCAGCTTTGTTATTCCGCTTTTCTCCTTTTCTTCACTGTAACATGTATATATACATATATATATATATGTGTGTGTGTGTGTGTATGTTTAAAAAAGAGATATTGTCAACAACAAACAACTAATGATCCATGATCGTTAATTATGATCGTTTTCTACTAGTGACGACAGATAACTTTGTCTGTATATACATATATAGATATATGTATATGTGCATCACATGTACTGTTGTATCAATAAATGAAGCGAACGAGAAATTGTCAGTGAACATAATGTCAAAAAAAAAGGAGAAATAAAAAGAGAAAGCAATAAAACAAATCACTTTTGGGGCTGCCTGAGAAACAATCGATTAATTGTAGACGATGACACGACACGACACACATATTGGCGCAAGATGGTACCCACGTGCATTGTCTATATATATATAATGTGTATGTGTGTACATGAGATGAATTATGATTTCTCTTATTTTTTCCTTTTTCATATTTATTTCTTTTATTATCAAACATTAATTTTATGTTTAATGATTGAAAATATATTTATTAATGTAAATCAATGAATATAAATATTAAATAGAATAATATTATTTTCTTCTTTTTTTTTTTTTCTTGTCTTTCTAGCATGATTTAGACGTGACAACAACTGAAATAGTCAGTTGTGCTGATGAAAGTGATCAATCAAGAAGAAAATTGGTTGAATTAAGTCGAGATTTTAAGAAAAATACGAATGAGGTAGGTGGATCCTCTTATTTCTTCTTTACTATATCTTCTATTTTAATTGATCATTAAATAGACAAAAAAAAGAGAAAGACAGGTACTCGTGATCATCAGTCGTGTATAAGTGTATGTGTGTGGGAACGCACATAGTTTTCTTTTTTTCTTTTTTTTTTTTGCTTCTATTGTCTCTTTTTTTTTTTTTTTATTTTACATTACATATAAAACGAACGTGATCATCTATAAGACAGACTGATCGTTCGAGAAACTCTCTTCATAATAATAATCATCATCATCATCGTCATTATCATCTTCTTCTTCTTTTTTTCTTCGAAGCAAGATTGCACTTCCTGGGCTACCATCGTTTGCGCAGGTGTATAGTTGAACTAATTTGCATGTATATATCTGTCTTGTTTGTCGGACTAACTTGCGCCTATTCGTCGTTTTATTTTACGCACGATCTCATCATAACAATACACTCTGTTACAAAGCGGTAGTGACATATATATTCCGACAATAACAATAGCTCATCTGATTTAGAAACTTTTTCTTTTTTCTTTTTTCTTCTCTCTTCTTCTTTTTTTCTTTCATATACAATATATATACAGGAAATACAAGGCGAAAGGATCAATTTGTATGTAAAGGTGTTCCCATTTACTTCAATGAATTGAATATCATTGAAAGGACAAGATCATATTACAAATAACGCGCCGAATTCATCGTTCATTAAGAGTTGACACTGATGCGATCGGCCGAAAAAAGTTTAGCTATAGAAAAATCGACCTATTGATTACATAAGTATATGCATATATAAAACAAAAAGTTTATTCTAAAATCTAAATAAAAAAAAAAAAAAAAAAAAAAACATCTTTGAATATGTGTTTTTCTTTTATTATCAATGATCAGCTTGTTAAAATTCAATTGTTCGATATATATATATATTTAATCTTTCCGCCTTCTTCATTCATGAATAAATACATTGTCGATTTTCAAATTTAACCAGTTAGATCTTTAGCATACATTTAGCATCTGCTCACACTCTTTTTTTTTCTCTTTTAAGCACACCTCAACAACCACTCCATTCATTCATTTGCCAAAATCATTACATACACTTTCCATTTGCCGCTTTCATGCAGTGCACCTATGCTCTACTCTTGTTCTAATTTGTTAAAGTGAAATATAAAAGTCGATCAGCAATAAGTAACAGCAGTCAAACTACCTATGTGCGTATGTGTCGCGTCACAAAGGTGATAATCAAATTTCATTTCTATATTTCAATTGTATATGTCTTGAACATTAGGGGGCGAAAATTGATTTTTTTTTCTGACTAACTATACACACCCCATACACCTCATTAGGATGACTTGTCAATCATATATAAGAGAGTCTGTTCTTAACGTGTGATTTATTGCTGTTTGAAACGTGCTTCATATGTGCACTCGTGTGCAAAGATCTTTGATCTTCTTCGTCTTGTTTGCAATGAAGACTAAACTTGATGATGAAGTCAATTCCACCTCATATACAACATATATTCTACTTCAATCGAAGAGAGAGAGGGAGAGGGAGAAAGGGATTTTTTTTCCTTTCTCTATCTATCATCTCCAGCAACATCAGTGTACTCTTTAATTGTGTGTCGTTTTTCCTCTCCTCCTGATCATCACCCGGTAATGACACAGTAGAATAGTCTCCTCTGAGTCTGTGCGTGATGACAGACCGTCTGTCTGCGTGTGATTGAGCAGAGAAACAAAAAAAAAAGTTCTTTTTTACTCTCTCTCTCTCTCTTGTTCTATAATCCGTATACGGAATGACAAACTAGCGACCTATCATTTGGCTAATGTAGCTTCTGCAAAGTAGTTCCGATACATTCGATTCTTCTCATGTATATATATCTATATGTGTATATATGTATGTGTCTATGCGAACAAACACGCCCCCTTAGCGGGCGGCGATTTGTATTATTCATCATCATTTCTTCTCTCATCATTCACGTTAAAGGAAATGAGCGAATGAAAAAGAAAGACTTCAGTTCATCTTATCCGCATTCACGATGACAAGAAAGGAGAGAGAAAAGAGACATGATTTACATATTCAATAGGCGGAGCGACAACCATTATGTTTCTTTCTTATACTTTGATCATCATCTTACTACTTCTACCTGGTGTTTTCTTTTCAATAGATGAGAGAAAAGCTTCTTCGAAACACTCGATGAATAGGGAGTGAATGCGCTCGCTCGCGCGCGCGAGCGCACATACACAACATACGGTGTGTTGAATTGTGTCAAATCTTGTTTAGGTTGATGACTTTTCACTGCTCTCTCTCACACACACACACACACTCTCTTTTTCCATCTTCCTGAAATTTTAATCAGACAGCATCTCCTGAATGACGAGAAGAAAAGGAGGAGAAAGAGACAAAGACATAGAAGGAAAAGAAGAAGAATAAATACTTAAAGAATGTCTTGGTCGGTGCGTCAACGACTAAGTCGGATCTGCATCAGAACTAATCACAAACAAGGGTCAATTTCCTCTTTCGTAATTGATTTTCTTTTTTTCTTCTTCTTTTTCTTCTTCTTCGTCTTAGTTTTATTCTCTTATTCTTCTTCTTCTACTTTACTTCTTCTTTATTCTAGTAGGTGAAAAAACTTGATGCGCATTCGTTCTTCCCTGCTAGTCACACATATAAATGGAGATTCTAATTAGACGTGATCATTCGATATCATGATCTCTTCCCTCTCTCTCTCTTTTCTTGTCTGTCGCGTGTATCGAGTCGTCGTTGTCGTTGGTAAAAGAGTAATAGTAGTGAACTCTAGTTGATTACTTTTGGTGCCCATCGGCACGCAACTCTTCCGATGAGAAAATCGAACACCCGCGCGCTCCTCCAATTACATATAAAAACCAATCAAAAAATAGAGAATCATTCTTTTTTCTTTTCTATGTCCTTTGTTGTTTTCTTGTCTTTTGCTACTTTCTGTCTGTCTCCACTTCAGGTGATTGAACCACTTTGAATGAGCACATTCGCCAAGCGAGTAAAAAGAGTTGTTAAAAATTTAAAAAACTTAAAGTGATTTTTTTGTTTGAGTTGATGCCGCACTGCCGTTTCTTATAAGATGTATATGAATATATGAATATATATATATGGATACACCTGTGTATGAAATGCCTGGAAGGTGTAAGGAAGTGAGCTAACCGATCATAATAACAACGATAGTGTGGAGCCTTAGTGCCTAATATTCTTTGTTGCGATCTGCATCACCACCGGTGCGTGTGCGTCCATCCTAGTAATGAAAATTCTTTTTCGACGCTTCTTTATTTGTTTATAGGGTTTCTCTTTAGCGGATGATTAAAATACAAAACGTTTCCGATCATATTCGTCTTATATAGGTTTTTTTCTTCTTGCTCACATATATAAATTCTCTTTTTTTTTTTTTTTATTGTAGTCATAGTGTGTGTAAATGAATCGTGCGCCGGTTAATCGACACGAACGCAATGCAATGCATTTTGCGTTTCTATATGCGTGTGTCTATATGTGTGTTCATTTCATTTTGTTTGAATAAACATTGTGAGACTTCCGTTGTCGGCACCTCACCCGATGATTGCTAATAGAGAAAAAGACAAGCGACGTTCGCTCATATAGAATAAACGCAATGATGATTGAAATTTTCTCTCTCTCTCTCTTCATTTCTATATGTTTACGCTTAAGAATAAAATATTCATAACACAAAACGATGTGTGACAGGCTCCCGTTGTCACTCTCTTTGGTCTTGTCTTCTTCTCGTCTTTGCCTTTGCGCGTTCTGCTCTTATGGTCGGTTGGTAAGAGAAGGCGAGAAAATGCCTATATCTTTATAGAAAAAGAGAGAGGGAGAGAGAGAGAGCAAAAAAAAATTCGCGATTGGTCTTCGCCAATGATTGGCCGAGAATTGATTGTATTGTGCAATTTTTGGACAAATAATAGAGAGATAAAGACACAGAGAGAAAGAAATAGAAAGACAAGTAACTATAGCACGCGATTTTCTATTCTCCTTTAGTAAACACCTGCTTGCATTTAGAGAAGAAAAAAAAAAGAAATCTATCTATCACCTGTCTCGTCTTCCTCTTTCATAAACGCATACGATAGATAGACGACGACACGCATAGTCCTCTTGAAAAAAATAGAATAGAGAGAGAGGGAGAGAGAGAGAGAGAAGAAAACCGACCGACACCTTATCATCATCATCATCATCATCATCATTTTTTGTGCGATATTCTCTTTCTAATCATCATCATCATCATCACCAGTGTTTGTGAGCCGAGTTATAAAAAAGAAAATTGTTACCTCTCGCTAAACACACACTTATACTGTAAATCGATAACAACATCATATCTTCGACATTTCTTCATCTTTCTTTTCTTTACATAGAAGTGTTGACTTTGTCACTTGTGTCTGTTAGGATGTATGCAAAGCCATTACACCTATATTAAAATCGTTCCAGATCGAAATAGATAGTTTATCAAAACGAAGCAAAGTAACTAAACAAACTTTCTTAGAAATTTATCAACATTTAAGTGAATTACCAGGTAAGATAAAATATATCTTTCTCTCTCGTATCCTTTTATCTTCTGTTTCTTTTTTCTTTGTTTGCTTCTTTAAAGATCCGGTGCCAAATCGTGAATATATTCAAACATTACAGAGACGATTTGAGAAAGTGTTTGATTTAGAAGTGCAAAATCAAAATTTAAGAGAAATATTAAGTAAAACATTGAAATTTTTTATCTTGACAAAATCTATATATATGTATTTTTCTCAAATCACATTTATAGACGAATTAGCTCATGTCAAAAGTCAAAGTAAGAAGAAAAAATTTTTTTAAAAAGAAAAGAATCTAAAAATAATAATAATAATAATAATAGAATTGACAATCAAGCAATTACGTGATAAAATCAAAGATTTGGAAGAAAAAAACAGAAGTAATCATACAGGTAAATTTTTCTTTTTTTTGTGACTCTTTATTAATATAGCAAAAAAAAAAAGAAATTTTACTTCGATTATATAAAAGAATAATAAAATTGAAGTAAATATTTAAAAGATTCTAACTGGAAGGAGAAAGTTATTGAATAGAATAAAAAAAAAAATCTAACAAAGGAAGTTTATTGAGTTTAAGATCATAGTAATTTTTTTTCCTTTTATGAAAAAGAATGAAACTTTATTGAAATGATTTTTTTTTCTTCTTCTTTTCTAGCAAAATATTAAAGAAAGAAAAGACTTCCAACATATCTTCGGTATACAATATCGCTTTTTTGTCTTTTTTCTTGTTTTTATTGCGAACTGATAAGAGAATCATCTATATAAATAAATTTTATTTTTACATGTTTGGTTACTCTTTTTTTTTTCTACTTTGTCTCTAGCTGATAAAGAACATCAATTTGATCTTATTACAAAATATGCACAAATAGAAATGCATCAATCAGTATTAGATCCTTTACATCAAGATATGTTTGAATATAAAATAAAACAAGACGATACAAATAATTTATGTTCATCAGATAGTCATATGTGTAATCAAGATTTAGAACAAATGAATAAGGTAAAAATTAATTTTCTTTTCAAAAAAAAAAAAAGGAGAAGAACTTATTGTGTTTTGTTTTTCTCTATTCATTAATTAGCGAACATCAAATACAGAACGATTTGTTGATAAACTACGTGAAGATTTTGAACAAAAGCGATCAACAAATAATAAATCTAATGATGAATTGATTTCACAAGAAGAAATAGAGCGGAAATTATGTGAAAAACTTGAGCTTGAATTAGCAGCTAAAGAACGTCAAATAGTTACACTTGTTGATGAAACACAAAAATTACAATCGACATTGATTAAAATAAAAGAAACATCATTTACACAGGTAATGAAAAAGAAGAAGAAGAATTTCAAAGAAAAAAAAATCTTTTTTTTTTTTTGATGAATCATATTTATCTGGATTTTTTTTTCTATTCAGATTTCTGGTCTTGAAAATGTCTTAAGTGAAAAAGAAAAGTTAATCGCACAACTAGAAAATAAATTACAAAGTCAAGCCGATTACGGAGAAATCAAACGAGAATTGACGTAAATAACGAATTGTTTTTTTCACCTATAAATATGAAGAAAGAAAAAATTGTTTTTTTTTTTTTTTTGTTTCTGTTAAGTCTTTTAAAATCAATCGAACTTTCTACAATAAATCGTTCTTCGAATGATGATCAAACTGGAAATCTATCAAAAAAATCTTTCGATGTACAAGATGAACAAACACAAATCAAAATGTCACAAATTAATTCAGAAAGTAAGTTCAAGTAATCCTATGATACAACACACAGTTTGATTGGCTATTATTTTCTATCTCTAATCATACTTTTAAACATATATGATAACAATGAAAAAAGACAAAGAACTAATAAGGAATTTTTGGGTGTTGTTTATATGCATGTTACAGCAACTTATTTATTCATTCTAGGTAATACTAATCATCATCAACTTCAACATTCATGTCGTCATTGTACTTCTCCATGTTTGCACCGATCAAATGTTCCATATTTACCTGCACCATCTTTTCTTTCATCATCAGCTTCTTCATCATCAAATTCATCTTCTTCTCCTTCATCACCTTCTCAGATTTATTTAAAACCTTATCAACAGTCAACAACAAATTGTAATGGCATTGATGATATGACACGAACATTGAATGAATCATCGAAAAAAATTATTCCATCTATACCAACATCACTTTCAATTATAACAACAAAAGATAATCTTCAATTGTGCAATACTCTTTCAAATTCAACAAATACAAAATATCCATCATTGACAACATCATGTTCAACAATGGTTACTCCAACTGCTTCACTTCTTTCATCAGTTACAACAACAACATTAACGCCGTCCAATCTCTTTCCAGGTAAATCATATATATTTATATATAAAAGAAAAAAAAAATGTCATTCTTTTTATCGAATAAATAATCTCAGGTCATCAACTTTCATCCGTCCAATGTACAAAACTTCATTGTCCACCAACATCATCATGGAGTCCACCATTATCGTCATCGTCAGGTGTATCAAGTATAGCTACAACATCAACAGATAATCGAACAGTAATTAAATCATCTAAACAAACATCACCTAAACCATCACCATCACCAACAATTCTTGTTCCATCAACATGTACATCAGTAACAACAAATGTAAATACCAGTATACTTGAACCACTTGATACAACATATGTTGCTAATGTTGTACGAAAACTTCTTGCACAACATAATATAGGTCAACGTATATTTGCACGTTATATATTAAGTTTATCTCAAGGTACCGTTAGTGAATTATTATCAAAACCAAAATGTTGGTCAAAATTAACTGAAAAAGGTAAAGAAAGTTATAGAAAAATGTGGTGTTGGGCCAATTCCGAAGAAAGTATTTTAACATTAAAAAGTATTAGTCCACGCAAAGGTATGAATAATCGTAAGTAACAAAAGAAAAAAAGCGAAAAAAATAATAATTTAATTAATTAAAAATTTAATTTACTATATAAATAGGTTCAAAAGATAATCCATATCCAGCTATAAGTACAAAACATACTGATCCAGCAACACATCAAAAAATTGTTCAGATTTTAGCTGATGCTCAAAAACAACAAATGGCAGCCGCCGTTGCCGCCGCCGCAGCAGCAGCAGCTAATATAGTAAATATATAATCATATTAAATTTAAACTATAATTTTCAATATTTTAGGATCAAAAATTATCTTTATCTCCATGTAGTTCCTTACATAAAGAAACATCAAATATTAATCTATCATCAGATCCACTTGAATCAAAAACTTCGTCATCATCATCATCAGCAAGTTCATCACCAGTAAATTCTCCTTTAAATGAATCACCACCATCTGATCAACAAACATTTTTACTTCCTGTTCCACCACCTCCACTTCCATCAATAACAACAACAACATCAAATACAGCTGCATCTTTATCTATGTTATCAGCATTTGTACCATCATTATTAATGCGTACAGCAAATAGTTTTCATAATGAAACAACAACAACATCAGCAACAACAACAAATAATCTTCTTGATTGTTCATCATCATCACCATTTAATTTACTTCGTCATCAACCAGATAATTATCGTAATTGGCTTATGTTACAAGAAATTGTTCGTAATAATGATTTATTTAAACAATTTCAACCAACATTGCCAACATCAATTGATACAGATGATGAAAGTGAACAAGATAATGATGATAATAATAATGATAATGATGAAAATGATGACGACGATGATGATGATGATGATGATGATGATAATAATAATAATATTGATGATGAAAATCCAATAAGTTCAGATGAAATTCCACTTGATTTAAGTATGAAAATTGATTCAAATCATCATGATATTGGACGAACATCAATTAAAATATCAAATAATAAACAACAATTATCAACAAAACATACTAAAACAGCTTTAACACCATTACGTGAACAAGATACATCAAAATATCGTTATATAAATACAATGGAATTAGTTCAAACAGTTAAAGATATTCTAAGTCGTTATAGTATATCACAACGACATTTTGGAGAAAAAATTCTTGGATTATCTCAGGGAAGTGTTAGGTAAGTTAATTCTTGTTAAAAATCAAAACAAAAACTAAATCTTATCTTTCTTAGTGATATTCTTGCTCGACCAAAACAATGGGAATTATTAACACAAAAAGGTCGTGAACCATTTCTTCGTATGCGTATTTTTCTTGATGATCCAAATGCAATAAAACAACTTGTGCAAACTGTTACAACAACACCAACATCAACATCAACAACAACACCAACAAATTCAATATTATTACCAACATTTTGTCCACCACCATCATCATCATCATCATCAACAACAACAATAGCAACACCATCACTTTTATCAAATACAGTATTGAATGGTTATCATTCAAATAAATTATTAACACGTGACAATTCAATAGATTCACAATCGAATATTTTATTAAATGATTCATCACAATTATTAATAAATGAAACAATACAATTACCATTATCATCAACATCATCATCATCACCATCAAATGGAATAATAACAAATTCAAATAAATCGAAATCTCGTTCAAAAAGTTCAAAAACAAATAATGATAAATCATCACCATCATCATCATCAAATCATTCAAGACATTCGTCAACAAATCCACTTATGGCACCATATGAATTACCTAAAATATCATTACCTAGTAAAAGAAATTTATTGATTTTCGATTATTTAAGAAAAAAAAAATGTTTTTTTTTTTCATTTAGGTACAATCGATACTGAACAATTAAGTTCACAAGTGCGTGAACTTCTTTTTGCTTATAGTATTGGACAACGTGTATTTGGTATGTATTATTTATAAATCTTAGCTAATTATTATATAAGTTGAGTCATCTAAGACAAAATAGGACATATTCAACTTTCATTTGACTTTGATTTTTTTATAACGAGTTGTTTTTCTGAATAAGTTCATTTAGGATAGACTTATGAAAAAATGTTGGCTGTTTCAGCTGATTATTAAAAATTAAAAAGTAATTAGTGCATGCTCTTTAATCATATGAGAAAACAAAAATTGAAAAGTTCACGATAGACTCTAGGATATAAATTGCATCTACGGTAAAATTTTCAGAAAGATTAAACTTCAAAGAATCACAGTCGTAAATACTGGATTTTTACAAATTCTGAGGAATTTTGCCGTTTCGAATTAATTCTGATTTTTTTATTTGGTTATAAAAGCTTTTTTTATGTTTGTATATTTGTATTGCATCATATCGCTAATGCCAGATGTTTTACTGGTAACTTCTCGGAACTAAAATCTCTAGTGATAATTCTGTCAAAGTATCTGGAGTAAATTAACATAGATGGAACGGATAAAAATTAGCTCTAGGAAAGTTACTTATCTCGACATATATATATTTTAATTTTGCAAAGTCATGTCAGGATTATCGATATTCATTAGGGATGAAAGGGACGACAAAATACGGAGAAAGTGTTTTAACTCGGTCTCTTTCACAATAAACGTCTTAACATCAGATCATTCCTCCCCCGAGGCTTGTCCCAATCTTATTCAAGTTGCAAAGACATTGCCTGCTAGAAAAAAGGCTAATAATGTTTAAGAAATCAGGTTTCCGTTCAACGTTACCACAAGGCTATAAAGTATTGGCGAAAAGTCAGACATTGTCAGAAGAATGCCTTGATCTTCGTCATCGGGATTGCTATTCATATTGCTAATGGATTATTTCCCTGATATATATATATATTCTCCTTTATTCGTATTTAAGGTGAAGCTGTACTTAATCTATCTCAAGGAACTGTTAGTGAAATATTATCAAAGCCTCGTCCTTGGCATTCATTAAGTGTTAAAGGTCGTGAACCATATATGCGTATGTATACATGGTATAATGATACAGGCAATGTACAAAAACTACTTGCATGGAAACGAGAACGTGATGGTAAAATTTTTATTTTTATTTTCTAGTTTGTATTTTTATTTCTTTTGTTTCCCTAGCTTTACGACGTTCTCGTCCTCCAGCGACAACAACAGATAATAATAATGGTGATTTAGAAAGTGGAAATAATAATTCAACCATGAAAAAATCATCATCATCATCAACAACAAATAATAATAATAATAATAATAATAATAATAATAATCCAAAACGTCGATATTTATTTACTGATGATCAACGTCGTGTATTAAAACAAATATTTGAAAATGAACCATATCCAAGTCAATCAACATTAGAACAACTTGTGGGTGAATTATCATTACCAATGAATAAAATAGCTAATTGGTTTCATAATTCACGTATGAGAGCTAAAACAAATATACGTTCATCAAGTCCAATAAATAAAATTTCAACATCATCACTTAATAATAATAATGATGATTTAATAAATACACAAAGTGATGATGAAGATGATTTAGATGATAATAATAATAATAATAATAATAACAATGATGATGACGACGATGATGATGATTATCCTATTTTACCAACAATTGTACCTTTAACTAGGTAAATAAACGAAAAAAGGAAAAAAAATTGATTTTCTAATATGTTTCTTTTCTATTAAATTAGTTCATGGCTTAATGGTACAAATGATTCGAACAGTTCAACAAGTCCAATTGGTTTATCAGCAACATCAACAAATATTGTTTCATTAATTGATGATCAAAAAATAATGCCTATATCATCAAGTTCAAGTAGTAAAAAACGTAAATCAGTTCCACAAAAAATTGTCACTACGAATAATAATAATAATAATAATCTATCAAAAAAATTTCATAATGAATCAACAATACTTGAAAATGACAGTAATGATGAAACAAATCAAAAAACAAATCTAATTGATATTCTTACATAAAAATTAATTTTCTTTTGTCTTTTGTTTATTGTTCATTTTATCTAGCCAAGGTGATATTTTGAGAAAAAGAAAAAAACAATTGGTGATCTTGTAATTTTTTTTCTTTCTTTCTTTCTTTCTTTTTTCTTGTCGTTTTGTGAAATAATTCGTTTTAGTTGCTTGCTTTGCTCAACGTGGTTTTTATCTTCTTTTTTTTTTGTTGTTCGTTTTGTTCAATTGCATATATTTCTATATGTTTATCTGTACTTGTGAATATTGCTCAAGCATTCTAACTAGTCGTAACACACTCAGCTGCTCCAACAAGTGCATTATCAAAAGACAAAAAAAAATAATAATACGAAACAAGAAACAAAAAAACAACAACATAGAATGACATTTGTTTGAGATTTCAGTGATATATGTATTCTATTCGAATGATTGTTTTTGCTTTTTGTTTGTGTCTTTGGTTTTTCTCTTTTTTTTTTTTTTTTTTGTATGTCATTATTTCGGTGTTGTGTGCGCGTGCAATAAATGAGAAAAAAAAACAGTGTATACATCTGACAAAAAAAAAAACTCTATGAATATGGAATATATAGATTATTAAATAGCATTCCATTGTTTTTCTTTCTTTCTTCTTTTTTTTTTGTTTTATAAGAAAAGAAAATTTTTATGTTCTTAGAGACAAATATTAAAATAAATGTCAATGAAAAAAAAAATGTTATGAATCAGTTCTATATATGTATATGTTCGACTTTATTATTATTTCAAAATAAATAAACTCTTTTGTCCATATATATATATATATATTTGAATTTGTTTATGATAAAGTAAGAGAAAAAGAAACCTAGAAATAATTTATAGCATACTTTTTTTATTCAGTTTTATATATCTTTTTTATCTTTAGGAAATTTTCCATGCGAATATAATGAACATTAAAGGTTGTTTTATTTTTCTAGATTGCTTCATTAAATTTAATAAACGTTGTCATAAGTCCACGTAAGTGCTAATAATCCATTGATTCTATTCAACGGTCTATTACGAAAAGATATCTTTTGTATTGATAATGTTTCTAAATTATTTCAATAAGGATCCAATATAAGTTATAACGTAAATAATTGAAAATATTGACAAGAAATTATTTTAATAAAGTGTTCATAAAATTTTATCAGAAAATAATATTAGAATTCATCTTTCATCGGATTCAATAATTATGCCATAAATTCCATGCTTTTCTTTTGAATCCATCGATCTAATATCTGCATTCATAAGATTTTATCTTATAATTTTACATCTTTCAAAAACTCATTTCCGACATATCTTAACGAAAAGAATTCAATTTCAACATTTAACAAATACACCAGTTATTATACGGTCGTTTTCCTGTAACAAAACTATGTTATTAAAATAACAATTAATATTTTTCAAAATGAAATCAATAAAATTCAATTAAACAATATTGACTTATAACGAAAAACTTGTTTATTCTGCATGAAATTGTATGTATAACTGATGTTTTGAAATATTACGATGTAAGTAAATCAAAAGAATATGGCTATTGATCAATCAATAGTTACATAATGATAATATTTCCTAATTTAAGCGAAGACAAATTTATGTTTGGGTAATGATCATACTAGTTTCTTTATTTCATACGAGTCGTACACATTCTTTTATTTCATAAATGTTTTCTGGCAGCTATGATTTCATTTTTTACTTATATTCGAAAACACGTTTTTTCATGTTATCTTTGCTTTGATTTTTAGTAACATATGATAAAAGATTTTTCAGAACAATCGTTATCATCCTTAAATTAACTTTAAAAATGAGATAACATGTCTATCATTGCTTTGACGAGCGAGCATTCCCAACTGTTTGCCCGTTTTTGAGCCGCGACATAGTGCATATTGTAAACCTTAATGAACTATCTATAAAAATAAGAAGAGTTCGTTTCTACGGTTTCTTACTCAAGATATTGATTTTTTTTAAATGAATTTTGACTTTTATGAATGCATCGTTAGAGCAAGATAATCTTTTCGAATGTTAATCTGAAACTTTGTGCAATTCTCTAATCACTTTTGAGTCTAAACTATGTGCATTATGTAGCCTTAAGCGAGTTTTGAATACCTTGAAAAAATTTTGTGCCCTTAGCTTATTACCGAAGACATACATTGGACTGTTACTGTCGTTTTTAATAAATGCCGTAGTTTCCATCAGAAACACCAGAAAAAAACTGACTTTCGAATTTCTATTTGAAGCTTTGCACAGCGGCAGGTCTTAGCAAGAGTAGTTTATTGTGATAGTTTCAAGTCTTTTGATTTGCTTGTATCCTGAAATAAGAACATGAAATATGTTGATTTATACGAGTGATGTAAAATGAACACGCTATTATCATAGTTGTATATTAGGATAGGAACAGCGATAAGACCTAAAACATGCACAAAAACTTACTCTTGTTAAGGTCTGTCACTAGGCGAAGTTTCAAGTAGAAATGCAAAAATCAGTTTTTTCTTATGTTCCTGAGGGGATCAGAGTATCTATTAAAATGATACCGTAAAAGTGCAGTATCTCCGTAGTAATAAGATAAGGGCACGATCTCTCTTTAGAGTATTCAAGACTCATTTGAGTCTACACAATACACATAATCTAGAGTCAAAAGAGATTGAACAGTTGGACGACTTCACTCGTAAGTCTCCTCGAGATATGAATCTTTCAAAAACTACGCACTATAGATAGTATCTATAGTCATTAAATAGGTAAACCTTTAGATCGAAACTCAAAAATATTATCTTGCTACAAATATGCGGTTCTAAAAACACGAACAGACACTTAGGAATGTGCCCTCGTAGAATTGATATAAAATGACAGAGGCTTTATATTTATTTCTATTTTTCTTTTTCATTAAACACACATATTAAGTTTTTAAACTTGACATTTTAGTTTCCAATGAGAATGTCTTCATACTTTGAATTTAAGCATATTTGAAACATTGCTTTTTTTTCTGCATAGATTTAAATATTTTATTTTAATTCAAATCAGAAAAAAAGCCATCAGCTGTGATTTCGTGTGTGTAACATTCTTATGATTTATGTATTACTTTTGGCATTGCCACGTCATGATGAATAGAAGAATCTATTTAAAAACTACTTTTTTTTTTTTTATTTCGTCCTTAGATTCGTTAAAATTAAAATAAGTTGTGGCATTTGATAAACTTCGTTTTCAGTGAAGAGACAATTTGACTTTGTGCCATTGCCAGAGTGTTTATCATGTTCTTCATTAAAATCTTGTTTTTTTACTTTTTAAGTTTGGCAACCTAAACGATGAAAAATGTTTATATATATATATATGATAATCTCATTAAGTATCTTTTATATTACACAAAAATAAAACAATACTTTACATGAGATTTTCAGCAATCAAATTTTCTAATATTTCCAACTATTTAATAATTATTGTTCTTCTATTCATTGATTTATTATGGAATTATGAACGACAACTCTAAAACATGTGTATATCTGTGTACACTTTCTATATCGACCATTTTCTTATCTCATTTATTCTATTGATGAAAAAATTTTAGGTTATATAATAATCTGCGTACTGTGAAGAATTAACACATTTATACGCCATTGTATTATGTTCTTTACCATTCCATAGTATGTGTAGACATGTAAAAAGCGTTTTATTTCACGATCTATCGAAATAATTGATTTTCAACAGATGAACATTTTTTTTTTAAATTGAAATTCAGATTTGTTAGAAAAGAAAAACGGAAGTCTCATTTTGTTAATTAAATCTTTTCAAAGGTGATTTATTCATGAAATATGGCATCTTTTCTTTCACAAGAGAACTGATGTAATGCTTATGTCAATTCTGCTTTATTCACTAAAGCGATTAATTTTCTTTTTTTTTTCGAACACGACAATGCAAAGATTGTCAACTGATACATCAAATAGTGAATCAAAAAGAAAACAAATTTTTCAGAGATTAAGCTTCTCTTTTGTTACTATTTTTACTGCACATACGTAGGATTAGAATCAGCAGAATGCCAATTCTTTCATAAAATAGGGACCATATTTAATATACAAATCGCTTCTAACAAAACTTAATTAGCAAAATATGAACATAAACAGCGTTTTTTTTTTCTTTTCATATTAAATTATTTAATTGATATTTATTATCCAATGGAACAAGTGAAAGATAAATGTAATTTTTCTGTCTACTTATTTAGAATGTTCAGAGTTGCGCAGTCTAAATTTTCTATGTTACGCAATATTCCTTTTATACATACTGCAAAGTCTTCAATAAAAAAGTTTATAAATGAAATATATTCGAGCTAAAAAACAATCGAATAACTTACGTATTGTTACGTGATGCGCTGGCATTGAGTATTTATCGACAGAATGGGGAATCTACCCCTTTTCTAATCAAATATTAAATGGTTTCTTTTTTTTGTAACTACTTAACTTACTACTACCTGCCTTATCGGCACGTGAAGACACGACAATGAAGATATATAGTTTATATATTGAAACGAGATAACACTGCCATAGATATATATATATATTTATAAATACACAAATGAAAATATACTATCAAAAATAATTTTTTATTTAGATCGTTTTTTTTTTCTTTTACAATATATTAGAGTTTTTAAGAACATCTTTGACCATTTTATTCAGCTTCAAATATTCCATTATCAAGTTTATGTTTCAAGTAACATAACAGTTTATTAATTCATTACTGAGGAAATTGAAAATTGTCATTGAAAAAGCACATTCAAAGATTTGCACACAATTGAAATATTATCATTTTCGAATAACGAATAACCGAACAAAATGTCAAGAAAAATATGTTTTAATAAGCAAAAACTTGCTTTCTGATCACCAAATTAATTTAAAGAGAATGATACAATGAACGATTGTCTGTCTATGAATTAATTTTCAAGGCTCAATCGTGTCACGATTTCAATTTAATCCTTGTAATTCTCATGTTTTCGACAAATTTTCTGCTATTGTTGACCACATTTTTTTTCTTAAATTTTAAGGGTTTTTTGACACCGTAGCCTAGAATTCTCTATGGATCTTCGTTCTACACATTTAATTTTTCTTGCTTCAAGAGCATGTTAAGATGCAGAGCATGAGAGAATCTCTTTTTTTGAATGAAGCATTGTTATACTTATATAAGAGTACTTTTATGAATAGAGTGCTATTTTTTGAAAACTTGTCAAAACTTTCAGCTTTACATTTCTTTTCTACTCTTAGAAGTACGAATATAAAAAAGACTCTGTTATGCTCTACATCCTGACATACTCTATCGAACAAAAAAAGAATTAAGTGTATTAAAGGAAGGCCCACAGAGAATTTAGAGTTACCAAATGACCTATTTTTTATCCTTGTTTGTTGATTATCACCCGAAAACATTATGGTGTATAGAGCTGAAAATTTTACTATAGCGTCTGTCCTACAACGCCTGTATATCCTTCAAATGTCATGCGATGAATAGTCTAGTGATCTAAACAATCTATTATTGTTGAACAAAAGAAAAACATAAAAACTCGAAATGAATCTTTATTTTAAATGCTCAAATATTCATTATCGTCTTCTTTTATGTACTTCCACAATGTATTTTAATTGATATACGATTGTTAAATATTCAGCTGATGCCACAAAAAGTAACATTTCTTTTTTTTTTTTTAACAGATTAATAACAACCAACTGGCATAGCTAAACAGTTTAAATTATCTTCCTATTGTGAACTGTTTAATTTACATTGATATGTATGAGAAAATTTTTTCTAAAAACTCTTCAAACATTTCAATATTCTATTACTAATCCGAATCATAATCTATGTTGTTTGAAAATATTTTGCATATTAAAAATTATTATTCTTAATATTTTTTACATACAACTTTAATTTAATGAAAATTCTAGAAGCAATGTAAATTTATTCAAATGTTCAAGATCACAACATTTTTCTTGTGTTATATTTAATGGCTATTGAATAAACTGTTTCTTTTATTTTATTTTCCCAGCCTCAGAGTGTTAATTGAAGCAATGCACTTATCTATTAAGAAATGTCATATAACTCAATGTTTAATGTGTAAATTAACATGTAAACTTTTATGTTTTTGTGATGATTGTCTTTGAAGAAAAAAATAAAATATTCAAACCATTGAACTTTGACAGCTCTTCTGGCATTCATTATTGAATAGTCATACTCAATCACTATGAACAACAGAATATCATTCATTAAGTCGACTATATAGAAACGCATGATTTATCTTCGATTATGTGAACACAAGATCAATGTTGTTGTGTAATGTTGTTTCAATAGAAAAAAATCTTATTATTAACCATAGAGATATACCTATACATACATAATGGGAATATTATAAACTCAAAAATTTGAAAAACAATGTAAAATAAGCATATCAAATTGCACAAAAAGAAAGCATTTATTCCTTTTTTTTTCGATATTTAATTGAGCACTCAATTAAATCTTTTTTAAGATATAAGATATTCAATAGAATGATTTTTCTAATTTGAAAATTGTATGCTTATTGTTAATAAAGTTCTCAAGTGTTAGTATCAATAATTTCTTAACCTTGGTTGAATCAATGATGAATATTATTATTTGTCTTTGCTTCTTTATGTCTATATATATATATATATACTCAATGTTGCACTTAAGAGTCTTTTGTCGGTCATTTTTCTTTTTCTCCTTCATACCAAAGGGATACGCGCTTGCACTCGAAACATTTATATGCACACAGAATTTGATCGAAAAGAGGAAAAACAATTCTTTGTGTTTTATTTTTCGTATTCCTTCATATATGTACATGCAACATGGTGAAAATCGCCAAGAAAAGGTAAGGAAAATATATATATCTATATCTAACGAAAATAAAGACGTCGACGACAACGATGGGACGAATGACATTCTCTTGTTTTTTTTTTCCTTTCTTTTGTATGATGAATTCATTCGATCGTCTATGTTCAGTCTCGTTTCATAAGAGGAAAAACGAAAGAAAAAAAAACGGTTGACACTTTCTCTCTTCTTGGTCAAGGTAAGCAACAATAATTGATGTAGTTCAGGTTGATATATATGTGTGTATTCAAACCAGACGTTAGTGACCGCTGTGTATGGGATTAATCTAGACAAGACAGACGACATTAGTTCAATTATTGAAAGCTAACACTGTTATTTACTTCAAGCTTAGACCGACTGATGTTGTCCATGTCGTCGTCTATCTAATTTTTTTATGAGCCTTATCTCACACATCATCTTTTTTTTTATTCACACGAATAAACAGTAGCGAATGTGAATATATATATATTTATATAAAGATATGTATGTATGAAAATTTTCCTTTCATGTAGGGTATGAATTCATTATTTATTGTCTTACATGAAAAAAGAAATATAATATCTTATGTTTAACCTTGTCTTAGCATATTCTTTGTTTAATAATGGAAGTATATATAAGCACGCGTCTTTAGATCATTATGTGAGAAAGTAAATTTAACCTTAATCTTTGATGTAGAATTACAAGTTAAACTTTTATCAAAATGAACATTTGACTAAAAAACGAACATACAAATGGTAGCTATTGTCGATAAGATTAATGGTAATCGTAGTAATGTTGGTTGCAGTAATCATACTAATCGAATAAAACAAGAAGATAATCATCAAACAACACGAATTATTCAATGGCTTGGTGGTGAACGAGCAGGTATATTCAAGAACAAACTAAATAAATGAACACCATATTTTTAAAAAGAAATTTTTATCTTATTTAGTTGATGTTCCAGCTGAATTTGATGTACAATCATCACTGAAAGAAGATTGTGTCGATCATCAAATAGTTGCATCAAAAGTTGAATGCATTGAATTACTTCGACTTAAACCACTCGTAAGTAATAATTATATCGTTTACATTTCGATCAACATTCTTTGTTTATTTGATTAGTAAAAATTCAAGGCTTAATTTCATTACAAAGAAGGAAAAAGACAAGCTAAATTCTTCTCATTTACTTAATGTCAATAAGACAAAAATTTTCTTTTTTTTTTGTGCATGTTTCTATCCATGTATGTATGCTATTTCTAGAATAAACAACAAACTACTACATTTGAACGAGGCTCTTTACTTCGTCAAAGTAGTCGTCGTGGCAGTTGTAGTTATCGAAGTCGATCATCGCCCGATGAACAAACATCAGATGAAGCTTATTGTACATTATCAACACATCGTGGTGGTATTCAAAAGAAAACAAAACTTAATAATGATTTAATACGTAAAGGATCAGCAAGTGATAGTAGTAGTTTATCAACAACTGTTCATAATTGTACATCATCACCTATATTAACAATATCAATTGATGATATATATACAACATTAGATCGTGCACAAATATTATTTAAAATGGAAGATGAACATATTAAAGAAGATATTGGACGTTTACGTGAAATAGCACAACAAGGTTCATTTCAACAAAGTCTTCATTTATTACCTATTGTAACACATGCAAATGATCGTTCAATGGATTTATTTCATGAAATAATGATTAATGGTGATAATGGTGAACGAGATTTTAAAGAAATGGTTGAAGAATTGATTCAACTTATTGAAAAAAAATTAGTTGATGCAGAATATAAAATGTTTGATGCAACGTATGTTTTGTTGATGAATTTTATAGTTTTATTTTTCTCGTTCTGTTTTACTAAATCCTCAACAAGAAATCCTTCGTAAAGATTTTTGTTTAAAATGTAACACTTTCATAAAGTTGAGCTTGTTGATTGGATCATTTGGTATTTTTTTCATTATAGGTGAATATATTACACTTGATCGTTTATATCTTTTAAAGAAATTTTTAGGACAGGATTAGATTAGAGATGTATGGGACAAAGTTTTTTGGTCCCGGTGTAGAGAAAACTATTCCACAATTTATTGGTATCATATCTAAAAAAAGCTTTTCAATACTTGCTTTTTTATGAAGTTGACCACTGACACTTTTTTTAGGTCATCTCTCTTGAATTATGTTCGGATTGATAAGATTATTCGGTGATTTCCATAGAATATCTAACTATAATCTTTAGTTCCCGTCTTCACGATTTCTCTTTTGTATAGCCTCGAGCCCCGGAAACTTTCCAATTTTGGTTCCATATATCTCTAGTTTAGATACGTTAGGTTTAGCTCTTTAGTCGGCCTTTTATCGGTCTCTTAAAGTCGATCTACATGTGACAGGAAGTACGCGTTTGTGTTCACATTCCATTAGATTTCTTAGTGAATGATATGCTCATGTTTTTGGACTTTAGTTTCATTATCAATTGTACTATACTCTTTATTTGCTTTCTATATTTGCGATTGAAACTGTCTTGTACTGTTTTTCACTGGGTAATTGAACCGATCGGATCCAAAATTTTCAGATCCGGCGGGATCTATTGGATAACCCTGAGATTCAGTATAATCAAAGCATATTAAAAAAAAAAACCTAACATATAATTATCTTCTTCTAGTACAATCAGAGCATCATCTCCATCATTATTTGATATGCTCAATGATCTTAAAACATGTTTAACATTATTACGTCGGACAGAAATGCAAAGTTTGTTAGATGTATTTGATAATGTTCTTAAATTACGTCTTTATCCATCAGCATTACCAGAAAGTCAAGAAATACCAAATAATATTAATAATGAAAATATTCCAAATAAATTAAATCATTCTGAAACAACAGAAGAATTATTAAAATTATCTCAATATGCAATTGATGAATTAAAAATCGTTAAAATTGAAAAAACTCATGAACCATTAGGTGTAACAATAACACGTTCTGATTCTGGTTCAATTCATATAGCACGAATTATTGTTGGTGGTATTGCATCAAATACAGAACTTTTTCAAATTAATGATCGTATACTTGAAATAAATGATGAACCAATAACAGGTCGTTCACTTGATTATGTTTGTTCATTAATGTCAAATATATCAGGTTTAATTAAATTTCTTCTTGCACCACCATTATTTTCAAATATAATTCATCATAATCGTCACCATAATAATAATATATCACATCAAACATTTTATGTTCGCGCATTATATGCATATGATCCATATAATGATCCATTATTACCGTGTAAAGAACTTGGTTTACTGTTTCAACGTGGCGATATTTTACGTATTGTTGCACGCGATGAAAATTTCATTAAAATTAATGATTCATATGTTAGTTGGTGGCAAGCATATCGTGAAAATTCAACGGAAACAGATACAGATCCAAGTTTAGCAGGTCTTATACCGTCGGATAGTTTACAACAAAAACGTTTAGCTTTAATAAAAGCACTTAGTGATGAAACTGAATCAATATCATCATCATCATCAATATCAATATCATTAAAACATCAGAAAAAATCTAAAAAGAAAAAAAAGAAACATTGTTTAACTTGTCTGCCAAAAAAAGAAAAACATAATTTACATTCTGTTTATAATAATGCAACATTTATACGTGATATTGAGGATACAGATGCAACAAATATTCGAACATCAACAAATCATTTTTCATTAACTGATACAAGACAATTTGATGAAGAACATCCATCATCAAAAGCAATGGCTACGATGTTAGATCATAATAAAGATTTCACAATGGATTCATTAATGCTTGATACATTTCGTTTTTATGATCCTGTCTTTCGTCTAGATCTTACAGGACAACAAATGACACGACCAATTGTTTTACTAGGTGAAAAATAAATTGTTCGTAGATTTTTACCATATTAGATATTTGAAAAAGAAAATCTATTGTGAAAATCTAATTTTCCTTAGTGATTTCTAGCGCACATAGAAATCTTCTAGCCAGTCTGACGTAGGTGTTTCATTGAAATAATTGGATCAAGATTAACTTGAATTTTAGTTCAGTTTAAATCTATAATACTAATAACTTTCTTAAATATTAGACAAAATTTGGTAATTTAATCTAAAATAATTTTTGATTAGAATTTCTTTCACATATAACAGTAAAAATGCTAAATACATGAAAAAAAAACTGTATTCTTATTTATTTGTAGGTGCTCCTAATGTTGGTCGACATGAATTACGTCGTCGTCTCCTTCAAACCGAACCAAATTTATTCGATGTTGCAATTCCACATACAACACGTGCTCGTCGTGAACATGAAATTCCTGATATTGATTATCATTTTGTATCAGAAGCGGATTTTTTAGCAAAAGTAGCATGTCATTCATTCGTTGAATTTGGTCAATATGATCGCGATTTATATGGAACATCGATTGAAGATATTCGACATGTTGTTTGTCGAAAAAGAAAAATTTGTATATTAAATTTAAATCCAGATGCAATACGAACATTTGATAAAACGGAACTTTATCCATATATAATTTGTATTGCAGCACCATCATTTGAACGTTTAAAACGTTTAGAACTTGATCGTCGTGATCATTTAACTGATAATGATTATCGAGAAATTATACGACAAAGTCGTTCACTTGAACGACATCATCATTTATTATTTGATTATATTATAATAAATAATGATCTTGATCGTACATACACTGAATTGCGTGAAGTTATTGTACGTATACAACAAGATGATCAACAGTGGGTACGAACATGTTATCGACAATCATAAATTCTTCTACTTTTTTTTTTTGTTTTGCTTTTGTTATTGTTTGTTTATTATTTCAACAATGTAATTTCTTTAATTAAGTTTGTGCAGTTATTTTGTGTATAGACGGGATTTTTTTTTCTTTTTTTGCTCTTTGATAATGATAATATAATATATATATATATTCGGTATGAACCGAATGCAACAATTAATTTTATTTTAACACATATTCTACAGTTAATATATGTCATTGAAATAGTTTATTAATTTTTCGAATTTTTTAATTTAGATAAAAAAAATATCCAGATTGATGTGTTGCAATGTAGAGACATCACTCTTCGAATCCTTACTTGAGCCGAAAGTAATCGATATTTGTCAGTCATAAAAACTATTCAAAATTTTGTTTCTGATATGCTAAAGGGTACACCCCCCTCTTTTTTAACCATTTCTGGATCTCAAAGACGGTAAGTTCGATCGAATTGAAATTTTTACTACAGATAGAACACCTAAAATGATGAGACACGTGTTCGAGGAAAAAATTCTCTAAGGAGGTTTTCATGGTTTTTTTATGAAAAACCTTGGTTTTCCATAGGTCTCAACTTGCCAAGGACAACCCCTTTCTAACTTTTTCCGATTGGGCTGAAATTTTTATCATAGATACTTTGAAATATTCTCCAGAGGTAGTTTTGGCCGTTTTCATTTCTGACCCTCTCTTTCATATTTATAGGGTTCTGAAGATCAAAAACTTGGTTACGGCAAAAACTTTTACGTATTTTTTTTATAAAAAAAAAAGAAAGTGATATTTTTGAAAAAGCTTAAAACTACCTCTGAGATATAGTCGTAGCTCTCCCCAAAAAGATTTTCAGCCCAATCGGACAAAGTTGGAAAGTGGTTGTCCTTGACAACGTGAGACCTATGGAAAACCAAGGTTTTTCATAAAAAACCATGAAAACCGCCTTAGAGAATTTTTTCCTCGAACACATGTCTCATCATTTTAGGTGTTCTATCTGTAGTAAAAATTTCAATTCGATCGAACTTACCGTCTTTGAGATCCAGAAATGGTCAAAAAAGAGAGGGGGTGTACCCTTAAATATACTGTTATTTAAATTTTATCAATTAACACCAGAAAAAGAAAATTATCTAAAATTNAACTTACCGTCTTTGAGATCCAGAAATGGTCAAAAAAAGAGAGGGGTGTACCCTTAAATATACTGTTATTTAAATTTTATCAATTAACAACGGAAAAAGAAAATTATCTAAAATTTCTCCATTTTCGATGGCCATGCTGGAATAAAAAGTAATATTGGTACTAAACGTGATAATCGTGAACATAAAAGAACGTTTTTTTCCCATCATGATAATATATCTTCATCTTTTTGATAATCTATTTTGCTTCTCGTATATTCAACCACTTCATATTATGGTGCATCCTCATTTGTAGATGCCTTTTTATTTGAAACAAAGTATTTTAACTGTGATATCATCACGTTTAGTTCTTTTTTCTTTTATCATAATCAGTTTTGGTAAATTATTTCTGATAATTTTCTACATCAAGTCAGATCCGAATGTGATCTCATGCCTGGATCCGAGCTGACCCAATTGCAGGACATACTAATCAAGATTAATCGTTGAACTGATTTATTTTGATCATTTGGATAAGTTATTCTATTCAAAAGCATTATATTAATTACAAGAACAATCGATAACATAAGATGAGATTGACAATGACAACATATTGTTACCGAACAGTTGTTCAGGAATCAATAATCAACTATCACAAAACGGAAAGGAGTACATATCCTATTTATACAGATATACTATTACATGTTGACATTTTAACGTATAAAAAAAATGAGATAATCGTTTTTTTTTTATAATTTATTTCTCAAATAATATTCTTCATGGTGTTCACTTTGATATTTATAACAAAACATTCTACTTCCTTTGTTTCAATAAAAATATCATCATATTTTCATGTGTATGAAAAATGATGTTACATTCTATGTTCGACATAATCTAATATTATATTATATTTGAAAACAAAAAAATAATTTGAAATAAAATCTATTAAAAATATTTAAACAAAAAAGAATACAACAGAATTCTATCATGATTATCTATAATTTTAGATAAATCAACAGATCAATGTCAAAGATAAATATAAAAACAAAAAATAATGCTTATCAAACAACAAACATAACAAACGTTATTTAGATTATTCGATAATTTTTATCCTATTTTAGAAAATCTATTTTCTTATTCAAGTGAAACACTTTGTCAATCATTTACATAAATAGTATAGTTATCATCATAATGATTACGCCATTTGTTATTCTACATATTGAATAGATCACTATATGTCATATCATACATGAATAACAAACTATACAAATGCATCTCAATCAATTATATTACAAGTAAAAACAGTTGTATGTTCAATAATTATGATATGATTGTTGTAATATATAGAATATAATTTATCAAATTGTCTACATAACTTTTAATCTAAGATTTGACAATTACCGAAAAAAAAAGTATCCTTGATTTGACAAAAAGGAAATTAAGTTCAATCTTATTTCCATGTACTTGAACTACTGTTTCAATTGTCAACATTTATCTATAGATTTTTTTTTTGTCTATCGATTAAAGTGCACTCTTATTTAAGTATACATGAATAATCCCATGTTTCTTTCGAATATTCATAAAGAATTTCAGTGTGATATATTACACATTGTTAGAAATTGTGTCTTAAACTCTTTATTCACGGATATTTTCATGGAAGCAAAAAAAAAACACTTGTTTTCTTTTTCAGAAGATTTATTCTTTTGAAAATAGTTTATCTATCTTATTGTCAAATTGTCGTTAAAATTCATCAAACTGAACTTTCTTTTTCTCTCTAAATATAATCATAAATCAATATGTAAACGAATCATAGATCAAAAGACAACGTGACATAACAGTTTTCTGTTTCTTTCAGTATTAAAATCAATAGTATATGTGTGACTTATTATGGTGGGAATAATAAATTGATGAACAGAAAGTTATACAGAGAAGAATGTAAAAACATTTTTTTTAATATTCCGATTAGAATCAAACATTAAATATTAATATTGTCTATTGACATGTACAATCGATTGTTCAAATGGACATATAAAATCTAATAATCATTATTAATGTTATACACTTTTTTTTGTTCATTAATAAACTCTGCTAGACGTGAAATAAAAAAAAATCTTAAAAGTTCATTCGATAGTATATAAATCATGATATTTTTCATATAGTCGAGTCAAAAAGAATAAAAAACAGAACCATATTGTTCTCTGTTTATTATATCATTCATTTATCATCATCATTTGACCTCATACAATTCCAGTTAAATCTATCAATACATTGAATAGTCTTTACTTGTACAACATATACATCTATTGATGTTTCTATTTCATATGTACATCTTATCATGTTCAATGCCATTAATAAACATGTTTCAATGAACATCAAGATGATGGATGAAGAGAGGTCATTATGTTTGTATATAGACATTGTTCTACTTTCACCTTTTATTGTTTCATTTTCAAAAGATTTATCCAGTTTTATATATATACATTGTTTGTTAATCAATGAATATGTTACACAATGGTGTTCCATGTCCTTGAAATTATTCTTCTATACAAATACATATAAAAAGAAAGAGAAATCCGAGCTAAGCGCACAAGCTTGGATTAGCCCCTTGACAATTTCTTTTTTTGGTTGTATTGTATTGATGTGACTGTGAACGTGCGTGACGAGGCTTCGCATTCGTATACTCTCTATTTGAAGTGGATGTATATTCTATTGAAAATTGTTCAATCAATGCAAGATATCATACTCGGTTTCTTTATCCTCATTAAATCTCTACTGACTCGTTTTCATTTTTCTCTGATCTAAAATAGCATACATAAGTGTATTCACAAGTTCAAAAGAAATAAATAAATATATATATATATATTTGTATAGATAGAGACAGTCAGTCCCCGCCCCTATTCATAACAAATGATTATTATTATTATGTTGTTATTATATAATATTTCTTTATCAAATCTCTTTATTCATTGTTATTGATGGTACCCCCTGTTGTAGAAATGATAGTAATCTTGACATGTGTATGTTGGTTTTATGATTGTTTAAATATTCGTTCAGCTGTTTTACACTTTTTTTCATTTGTCTGAATCATAATAATAAAAATAAAAAATAATTGAACTTTTTCTAAGCATCCTTATTTGAGGTGACACATAGTTAGTTAAATGTCAATAAGTAGGCGAGAATATTTCAACTGAAGGATACTCTTATACATTGTTCATCATGATAAAAATTCGATTTTTTAGCTCATCCGAAACACACTCGAAAATTAACACTTCAAACAGCAGGTGAGAAAATTTTATAATAATTAAATCATACTCATAAATACAATTAGTAAGATGTGATTTCATGTGAATCTCAAGTATTTGTCATTTAAGAAAAAGAAAAACTAAAAACTAAATCTTGTCTTTGATATTCAATACACAGAAAAGCTGCTGAATCATTATTTCTTTTCGGCTTCTTCATGCGTATAATTTACACCTTTCTCTTTGAACCACGTCAATAATAATAACGGAAAAAAGAAAAGTAAGTATATATATGTATGTATGTATGTATATGTGCACCTGAGCAATATCCGTCGCTCACATCATATATGTGTTCAATATTTAATCGAGAGAGAGAGAGAGAGGGAGAATGAGTGACATATACTTTCTCTTGTTATGGTCGCATTCTTCTTGGCTTGTGTTCAAAATTTTTTTTTTCTTCTGTCTATTTTATACATACATTCATGTCCACATACCTGCATTGAATATATCGCGTTAGTCCGAAGGTAAGAACACACAGAAGAAGAAAAAAAAATCGTTGAGCATTGACGGTCAACCGATGTTAACCTTTGCCTATGGATGAATTGTTCTCTTCTCCGATTAAATGCTCGGGTGATATATCCGTTTGCATGTATGTACACGTATGTATGTGTGTTGATTTAGTGGTAGTAGTCAGCATTAAGATTTGGTATAAAAAAAAAAAAGAAAAGGAAATAATTATTCTTTATCTTATTCCAGATCTTGGTTTTTTTTTGTGTTCTGTTAATATAATGTTCATCTGATGAATCTTGTACAAGTGGTATGTATATTCTTTTATATTAAATTTATTTATTAATTTGTATATTTATAAAAATATAGCGTCGATGTAGCAATGTCAACTGTCGTTCTCAACAGCAACAAAATATTGATAATACAATGGTATTTACACGAGCAGTTTATCAAGTTGATGCGACTATTTTATGGTAAGTATATGTTAAGGTTTTAAAGAGTAATAGTAAAAAAATCTTCTTTATCTGTTTCTTAGTCAACTCGTAAAACAAATTGAAACGAATCGTTTATCCAAATCATTTGCACAACTTCTTTATCTTGCAACAGCAAGTCAATTTGAATTAGATCGACAAATTTGTTCAATAACTAATTGTGGACATCAACAACGAAATATTTTATTATTAACTAATGTTCCAGATTTAAGTATGATAATCAAAATTAGATTTATTTTATTTTTTTATTTTTGTTCGAATTTATAGTTTCTATTGCTATTGATTGGACTTTGTCTCATTGTACAACAAGTGATGTAGAAGATCTTATTTCAACTATTGATCCATTTATTAATTTACATGAAGTAGATTAAATCGAAAGCTTTTATAATTAGTAATTATTGTTCTTTTAGTTATTTTATGACGTGACTATAAATGATGCTCGTATTAAACAACTTAATTTAATTGGTCTTATATGTTTTTATGGTGGTACAATTGAAGTATTTTTTTCCTATGATAATACAACATTGAAATGGTTATTTTGTTTTGATGGAAATATTGTTGTATTAAACGATTGGACTGCTGTTACAAGAAAATGTATTGATTTTCATCTTCAACCATTTCTTTTTATTTATGCAAATCCTGATCGAAATCCAGTTGATATAAGTCAATTACTTAAACGAACGGTGATTCAAACGAAAACTACGAATTGTAAGTATTTTTGATTATCGATAATGAGAGAAAGACTTAAAATTACTACTTCTATATACATATATATATATATTATTCAATTTTTTTGCCCATGTATTGCATCATAACTAGTGCAGGCTGTTCTGTGTACACAATCGCAATTGTAGACCTCGCCTGATTATTACTTTTTGTTCTTTTATGAGTATCTGCATTGTGGCTACCTCCGTTCGAGTGTATAAGATGTGAAAGAGAAGGAAAAAAAGAAACTAGGAACAGTGATGAACAGTAAATGTGTTTGTTTCGTTCTTTTCTTTTCTTTTCTTTTTTTTTTCTTCTTGTCATTTATTGTACATGATTAGAAAATAACACCAACCGATTACGTCTTATATTTATAGTTATACCTGACGAAAAACGATTAGAACAAACTATTTTATCAAATAATTCAAAAAATTCAATGACAACAAAAAAACAAGACGAATTTAAACAAGAATCATATACATTAGAAAATCTTCATAATATATCATCATTTGCTACACTTAACTCATCAATGTTATTTATGCCGAAACCTACGACAGTAAATAATTCATATATTAATCAAGAAAAAGTTGTTAAAGTTATGCAGCAACAATTATTAAAAAAAGAAACATTATCTGATACAACATCTATATCATCATCATCAACATCATCACCAATTGTTCATATTCGACATCGAAATTATCCAATAACAACACAACAACAACGTGAAGATACATCATCAAGTGGAGATTCATCTGTATCATCACAACGTGATTCAGGTTTAAGTAGTGGAATAAATGATGAATCAAGTGATGGTAGTTCAAGAGATAGTTTTATTGAAAATGAACAAACACTTATGGATAGTTTAATTAAACAAACAGAACGTATTATGAGTAAGTAAAATTTATTGATATTTTATATTTTCAAAGACAACAAATATGAATATAATAAATTTTTATAATGAGCATTTCATCTTAGGTAGAATTAGAGTAGATGTAGGTTTCTAAATATTATGATTATATAACAATAGAATAGATGTTCAATTTGTATGCATCATTGTAGACTTTAATAATACAATACAATTTGTTCTTTCTTTCAAAAACAATAACAAATACAGGTCATAATTTTTTACAAATTGCATCTAAAAATGTATTATTCATACATATAAATACAAAAAATTACTTTAAAAAATGAACATACAACTTTGTTATGAATGTATGTTGGTGTTATAAAACTAATAACTTTTCGATGATTCAAGTTATTTTAATGATAATAATAACAAAATATAGTTTTTGTTCTCCAGGTTTTGCCCGATCGAAATCATCTCAAAATAAGTCCATTTCTATCAGGATTACCGAAATTAAGGAAATAAATACATTCAAGGATAGCTAGAGGTCGAGTCCTTCACAAACAGTATCATTTTTTTTTCAAGAATTTTCGATGATTTCTGTTGCCATTTGTTGTTTTAGAAAAAAAGTGAAAAATTTTTTTCGTTTTTTATTTTGTTTATGTTTTTTAATCGAGAATCCCAAAATGAATTAAGCCTATTTATTATTATATAAAAAAAAACCCACTTCTATAAATAAATGAACATTATTCGAGTTATTGAACTTGTTATCCTTTTTCTCTGCATAAAAAGTAAGTATTTAATGAAAAATAAAAGAAAAGGACACTTCAATCTGACATGCTCTTACAAGCTATTTTTGATTCTTATGTGTTGAATATCTTTCGAAAACGTCATGATATAGGACTGGAAACTAGCCGAGTTTTTTCAACTAGTTAACATATAGTTATTTCTTGTTGTGTACTTTCCTATGTCATGAATGATTTTTGAGACAGACAGTCTTGACGGTCAGTTTTACAATCTCAATGAACACAATCATCTGGCACGTGTACCTAATTTCTAATTAATAGATAAATATCGTTTTTAACCTATTCTTAGTTAATATTAAAGCAGTTTTATTGTATTTAAAAAACTATTCATTATTCTTTTTTCTTATAAAATAATATTTTGTTATCTTTAGATGATAGTCATCTTGATATGTCATATATAACAATTGAGCATTATTTTGAAGAATCATTAAAATATGAAAGTGTAAGTAATTATTCTTCAGCATTAGAGTCATGTCAACAAGCTTTATTGCTTATTGAACAAATTCTTAATGTAAATGATAATCATAATGATGGTATATCAATATATGCTCGTACAAAAAAGAACAGTTTATTATTAAGAATACGTTCATTACAAAAACGACAAGTCGAAGAACAAGAAAACTTAAAACAATTTCATCCATCAACTAGTTCTTTAACGTCAACATTTAAACCTTTAGAAAAAAATTTAAAAAAAAATGAACATATTTACGATAATAATCTATCAAGAATAACATCAATACTTTCATCAACATCTAAAATTTCACGTCCAAAAAAGAATGTTAAATTTTCTGATAATGTTGCATTGATTGTTCCAACATGTGATGATACAGATGAACCACCATCAGAACATTTAATTCATTCATTTTTAAGGAAAATTCATCAACAACAAACAACAACACCAGATTCTGATTCCGATACACCATCATTATCAAATGATATTCCAATTGGTTTAAGTGAATGTACACTTTGTCATAAACGTTGCTCAAAAAGTAATCAAGTTGGAACTTATTGTTCTAATTGTCATTTTTATATGCAACGATTTCAACCAATGGCTTCTTAAAAAACGAAAAAGAGAAAATCTCTTGTTTTTATTTCTATTTGTTGAATCTCGTATATATATATATTCTGGTGCTGATATTTTTCTTATTTATTCGTTTTTTTTTCTGATTTGTTGTTAATATAACATGAATTATAAAAACAATATTCATATTGCAAGACATTTTCTCTATTCAAGATTTTTTGGAAAACAAACAAAGACTTACTTTTCAAATCAATATGATTGAAGCAAAAATGTTCGACGAAAAAAATAGTGTTGAAGTCCATGAAATTTTTCGAATGAGTGGATTTCGTCGTATGTGGTAAAGAAGACATGATAGCAAGAGAGATGTTCTTCATGATATTTACTAATGAACCTATCTGGATTCAGTAATCTTATTTCAGCAGATATCATTGTTCTTTTGAAAAATACTGATATTTCAGGGAAGATGTTGCATGAGATTAAATGAAATTCTATTTGATGAGACGTCTACTAGGGAGTTGTGAATATTGTAGTTGCTCTCTCTGAAAACTACGGATAACATCATTATATGACAGCCGAAATAAATATCCGATATGTCTTTGATAACAGACGATGATGCTATAGTGAACTGATAGATTTTTTGGAATAATGATTTTGTAAATAAAATGAGATGGAGCAACAACATTGTTCTTGGTAAATGTATTTTCTGGTATTCTAGTAAATCAATGTGAGCATTCTGAAATGCAAATATGCTCGAAAGACCAGTGGGACTTGCCACCAAAGTTTACTGATTGTCAAGAATAGATCTGAACGATATCAATTCATGATAGTTAAGAAGAAATAAGAATGGTGGGTACATTACATAACTCATTTGACTGAGATTGACAAAGACGGGCAATTGAAATTTTTCATTTTAATATACTTCACTTTCATCATTTAATAATACATACGATTGTATATTGTGGTCTTATAGAGTTTATTATTTTATATGAATAAATCAATTGAATCTTTTTAAGTTGTTTTATTCGCACGTTAAACTATTTCAATGCTTTGAAAACAACTCAGTTTTTATTGTTTAACTCCAATTCTATGTTCTCTTCATTCATGAGAAATACTGAACTAATGCTTTCGCAATAATCCTTTAGATATTTTATAAATGATAAAATTTCCAAACATTGAAAGTAGTATAGCTTAATCGTTTAGTGACAAGGCTAAGATCTTCCTGATCTTACCTTAGTTACGCTACTAGTTGTAATAGGTTTTACCTACTCAAGGATGTCTTGCCTGAAAAGATTCCAATCATTTAAAACGATCGAAATCAGGTAAAGTCGGATATTTTCGCCGATTAGAATTGATTTATAATCAAGATTATTTATATGATTATATTTTGCAAAAAGAACTTTTTAATTCATTTTGTTGAAGAGTATTCGATTTTATGAAACATTAATAAAAACAATTCATACTGGTAATTCAATGTTAACTATAACATTTACGATTATCTTAATTAGTAGCTTTCGTATCAAGTTTATTACAAATATGCTCAATAATAAAGAACTTCATTTAGATTAAAATTGTTTAATTAGGTTTTTTAAAATTAATATCATAAATTACATTCTCTTTTATTTAACAGAAATTTATAAATAGAAAAAAAAAATAAATATATAGATTTTGTCAAGAAGCCTCTATTTCATATTATTAAATAATTTCATAAATTCCACGATCTTTCCACCCTAAAGTTTAAATAAATAAAATATTTAAATATAAATATAAAGTTTTACATACCAAAAATTTGATTAAACGTGAAGCAATGCCACTAACTGGACTTCGATTATCATTATCAATGTCATCATTCTAAGAAACAAGAACAGAATCCTAAACATCTATTGTATGTAATAACTTACAGTTTGTGTTTCTTCATCTATTTGTTTGTATGCATTATTTAGAATAACACAAGCAAGTACAGTTTGAGTTTGCATTGCTAAACAAATAAATTTTATTATTTAAATCAATAAAAGAAAAAACATTTTACATTGTGTTTGTGTACGTTTTGTGCTTATTCTTCGACTAGGACCAAGTCGTTTAACATCACTAGTACCCAAAGATCTGGGATGAATACTATGTAGATGATAAACAAGGAAAGAATGATATAGTTTTTGAAGAAATATAAGTTTTACCGAGGTGGTGTTTGAATACATGTAACATATTTATCCTTTGTAATAGCAGGCATTGTTTACAACGATAGAGTGGAAAATTGGTCTATATAAATGTAAAGAAGACACAAGAAAAAGAAAAAAGAAAATAGTCTATAGTATATACACCAGTGATAAATAAGTCGAAAAGTATGTTCAAATAGACAGAGACATCTAATAAATTTCAATAGAATTCTGCAATGAAGTTCAAATAATAGATTTTTTCAGACCTACTAAGCTATATGATGAAAGAAAATTTTCAACTAAACTTATCTCTGAGTGTGCAAAATTTTCAGGGAGGTAGTCGTCTATTATGTTTCATTTATTTCAATAGTTTTTAGTTAAAAGATTCTATGAGGAAACGTAAAACGATTTAGAGGATTCGGGAAGCGATTTCTAAGGTTTAAAATGCTCAGAGATAATGTTGCCTGATATTTTAAAGATTTTTAGCTAAAAACTAGTGATATGTTGATGTAAATATATTAATTAAAGTTCCAATTTTTCGAGACATTAATAAATTAAAGGGAAGGGTCTTCTATTACGTCCGGCCTATCGTTTTTTTCAATGGGGAGCGTGGAGTTCCCGTTATAATTTAAAACGACCATTCAAAAAAAAAAACTTTGCTTCTTTGTATGGAAAATCGAAACTCAGATTACCTGACTATTTTTTGAATTTTAAGCAAATAGTCTAGAACCAGAAACTCAACTGTATCTAAATGTACCGGCCTAAAAAATGTATTTAGAATGAATTTTCTTGCTGGTCTATCATCAGGGCTGCCATGAATTTGAATGACGATCTTTGCAAGTATTTGAATCTCATAAATACGTCTTTAATGATGATCCAAGTTCAGATTAGCCAGTAGTAATTTCTTCTATTATCAGCACGAAAACAATCGATTAGAATTTTATGTTGGTTACCATAAGCGATTCAATAGTCGAATGTTTTCAACGACAAAAAATACTTTCTTGACGTACCAATGAAAATTTGTAATTTTCTAGGGCGATGATCATAAAAATGGAGTGTCACAAAATGTTCGTTCTAACGTGACCTAAAAATGTCGAGATCGAACTGAAACAATTTTTTTTCAGTCTTACCCAGAACTTTTCGCTCGCCTACGAATTTGCTCATATATTAAACAGCTGTGAACATAGTTCATTAAAACATCAATCGAAAGCGTTCTTTCGAAATATGTCGACAGGCGTTAATAGTTTTTGTAGTGATGAATTTTATTATGACTAGTTTTCATGCTGGTCCATACATTGATCAGCTGATTGATGGGAATATAACTTTTTCGATTTTCAGCGACAAAAAAAATGCTTGATTCCAGCAAAACATAAACATCTTACGAAGAAAAGCGACTTACGATAGATCCCAAGAACGATTATTCTTTTTATCAGAAATCGTTTTCTTTCTTGAAATGAAAGATTCGTGCTTCGCAGCGCGTTTCGTATCCGAATGTAACTCAAATACCATCAAGTTCTGTAGTCGGTCGCATACGCATTCGATCTCCATACTTTCCATGTTTTTTTCTCTAACAAAATCTGCCCTTTGTGCCACAATATTCTAGAGAACGGCGAGTCACTAGAAATTCGTTCGAACTTTGTTAGAGAAATCAATGTCTTGAGATGATACCAACTACTTTGAATCTTTAATATGGGTTTTCATTCATCTTCAGTAAGTAGCGTAAAACGGTGATTCTCATGATTTGGCCTCCATCATTTACCAGAGATAATTAGACTTTGGTGAGCTAGTGATATTAAATAGTGTGATGAAGATCGAAGAAGACGTTGAAGATAAACTAGTAATATTTTTAATTATAACTATCAACCGAAGTTATAACTATCAAATATTTTCGAATAATAGGTTCCTAAACTTTGTAACTGAGTGCATAAAGTCAAAAAAACATTAGCAATGTATGCAGGCATGTGGAATATATAAGAATAGCTAGATCTAGGAGCTTTCTCTTTGTATGGACCTGTGAAAGATTATTCAATAGCTCTTTTCTATGTTTTTGCTCCTATTCTTCTGTTGAATGAATTAGGCTGAAGCTATTTTTCAAAACTTGAATTTAGTAATAAAAACTAATTTATAGTTGAAATAAATGAAACCATGGATACTGATTATATAAATCAACTATTCTTACAACAAGGGATAAAAAGTGCAAATAAGTTACGCAGTTTTTCAAAGTCACTAACTAATCGTCTATACTTTTTGATTTCAAAACTATTTGAAAGTATGTGTAAACACTCATATATCACACTTCGATTTCTAGAACGAACATAAGTAACGGGAGACCGTAATTTCGGCCCATGCTTAGAATGGCTTAATTGACCTCTAAAAAAAAACTTAATTTTTTTTAATCAAGGGGGCCCCCCCTTCAGAAAATCCATTTTTCGGTAAAGTAATCGAAGTCGAGTTTTTATCATAGAAAGATACAGAGAAGTTTCCTCTTTCAGAATACATATAAATTTTAAAAAAAGGCAAAATTTGTACAGACTTTTGTAGGAGATTTCCACCTCACTACCCGTTTTTCGGAGTGATTTTCGCGGTTTCTGTAATTTTTGGAAAGACTACTTTTTTACTTCTATCAGTATGGAATAAACATTCTTATATCATATAGTACGACCTGATGTGCTAGCTTACGCCATCTATTGCGTGCTTTCAAGAATTCCACATAAATATTATCAATATACCAGTATTTCCTGCACTTGAATAAAAAAATCATTTCTAAAACTTCTTTAACGTTTTTCTCAGCACATAGTTTCAAATCAGGAAAATTCAAATAACTTCCGTTCGGCTTGCGCTACATCCAATATTTTTTCTGTTTTAAACGTTTCAATGAGAGTAAACTTT